CAGCCTTTTCCTAAATCACAGATTTGTTGGTTTTCTGTTCCTGTCCTTAATCACATAGTTCTCTTTCATCTCTGCTTCAAGTATGACATATTTGGTCATCTCTTCTTTCCCCTCTCCATACTACAAATTAAGCTTTTTTAATAGGTTTGATTTCTACAGATTCCTACCCCCTATTTCAAACAAAATGTCTGCACTTCTTTAGGCTAAAAATACTGCATTTAATTAAAGAATAATTAATGTAGACTTGACAGCAATCTTGAAATTGCTGCATTTTCATAGTCTATTAAAAGCCCTTAACTTATTCTAGTTTAATATCTTTAGATACTTGATTAAATAGTAAAGAAAGAAATGTCTGCTCTCATATACTGATGTGATAGACTGCAGACTAGTAAAAGCAAAGAATGCCAAATTTCATCTTCATTATATTACAACATCTAAGACTGCGCATTTTCTCTGCAACATTGAGATAATCCATTTGCCCCTAGAATTTTTGGTAGTTCGGAGACGAGTAAACAATATAAAGGACAGACTCAGCCTCTCAATATAAGAAATGACTAAATAAATATACCATAGTACATAAACTAGATTAAGCATCACAGATTAATGAGCAAAATCTGAATAATAAATCATGAAAAACCAAACTGGAGGAGACGGGTTTTTTAACTGTTCATAATGGAGGAAAAATTATTAAGCACACATGTAATTTTTTCCTTTCATTTCTCACATTAAGAAGTTGGTGCTCTTCCCCCACTTTCTGACACTCTAAGATGATGATGTCTAAGATGGCTCAGAGTCAGGAAATGCTACACTACAGGACAAGCAGATTTACCTTCTGCCCTTTGCAGGTGCACTATCTCCCTTACAACAGTCCTGTCTGCTCTTTCCCCAGATCTCAACAACAGTTTTTTCCCACCCAAAAAAAGGATAAATACTAAATTGTTGTTAAAAATCTCTTTTTTTGATGACAGAAATTGAGTCACCATATTATACAAAAGCCCCTAATATGAACAAACCTAGAGTAAAAAATTTCCCTTATAAAGCATTTTCTAGGCATCACACCATACAGAAGGTTTGATCTTCAAGGAATCTTGGAGCAGGGGGAAGAAGTGAGATCCCTAGGGAAAATTGAGAGGGCTTGACAGGTTCACCTTTAATGTGCACATATTGTGAAAATGCAGTTTTATTGTTGGGGAAAAAAAAAAAGAAAAGGAAGGGGGTAGGATTTGGACTGTCATAACTAAGAATGGGAATTTTGGAACAGACCAGAATCCTCTTTTGGTCTATAGAGCTGGCTATACACCCAATCTTTGAGCTGGCTGATGACTGGGAATTTCCAGAATCAATGAAGTATGATAATTTTATTAGCTGCCAAATTACAGTTAAAGTGAGGGAGCAAAACATGGTCTACATATATTTCAAAACTGTACAAAACATATATTACACCCAAAATGTACACTCTTGCATCCTTACATTCCTTTGTAAATTATAGCTTTATCTGAGCCATGGAAAGAGATATTGAAAATATTTTAAAACAACTAAGCAATATTTGAAGTTCTACTTTTCTCTGGCTTAATTTAATGGTGCATTTTAACTTTTCTGCCAGTTTACACTGCAGGTACTTCATTCTTTTGTATATATTATCATTGATATTTATAGATGGATAACTATTCCTAAAGCAAACTCCATCTAAACAATGGCCTTTCCAATGTTATTAATATTCTCGGTTTTTTTAGATCAAACGTTTAGATTTTTCACCATGCACAATTATGTCTATAAGTATTCAATAATAATATGGAAATTGTTCAAAATATTATTTTTTTCCCCAGCAAAATAAAATTGTTTCATGTCAAACTGAATGAAAGATACATCTGGTAGGATAAGATTTCTTCTAACTTCTGGAAGTATAATGTCCACCCGACACTTTTTTGCTTTGCTTTCCAAAATAAACATGTTTTCCTTCTTCTGAATAAGACAACTTTCAAGAAACCCAAACAAACAAATATGAACCATTATAGTCTTATGATGTTAAAAATTTGAAGGATCACAGCTAAACGCTAATGGGAGCTGTGTGAGTACTGAGGAACTATATAGAGGCAGACACCAGTAGTCACTGTGACAGGAATGAAAACTGCGCTTCCAAATATGTCTTGAGGAGTACAAGAGACTTCATTCTCCCAGAACAACTTTTTGCCTTGGAGAATATTTCTAATCCTCATGGTTGAATTGTGAAATACGAGAGAATGTAGTTTTCTATTTCTGAAATTACACAGTTCTCAGCTGGTGGGTTTGTTTTTTTTTTCAGGTGAATGATCACTGAAATCCAATATATGAAATATCTGATGTAACAAAAGAAAAAAAGAAAAATTAAAAGATCTGTGTGTAAAAACACACTGTGGTCAATATCTACACTACTCATTTCCACTTTGCATTTAGCCTTTGAAAAAATTAAGCATTTAGATACTGCACTAAAACCTAACTACTCTATAAAATGGATGTCTGTATTTTGATTGTTAATTTACCATGAATTTATATGCTGTGAAAATTCAACACTGTTATTAATCAGCATGGTTTCATAACTTTTATTCACAGTTAAGAGAATTCGTGTGCAACAGTAGAATCTTGATATATGCTTGGGCCAAATCAAAAGTCAAGAAGCATTAATTAATAAATAATTAACTACTACGTATTGAATAATTATTAAAGCATCAGTTTTCAAACTGCAGCACAGAAACAGGACTGACTAGCTGCTTAGTGAAATCCAAATATGTAAGTGTGAGGCACTTCTCCTTTTCAGATATGCCCTACTTTTACGAAGCTGCAGAAAACTTCAATATATTCAAAATACCCTAATTTCCCTTTCTATTTTTCCATTCTGTCATCCATATATAAATCTCAGAGGGAAAATCAGCTGATGATCTCTATCTCCAAGCTAGCATTCAATTACTCTCTTCTCTCTAGATCACTTGTCAGGAAGTATGCAATGACAGAAGCACTCCTGCAGTGCACATCTGAAAAGGTTCTTCAAACACAGATCAAAACACACAGTTTACAGGCAGGTTCTCAGAGTCCCACTTGTCTGATCCAAAACTGTGACAGAGGTGCACAGAGTAGCATTTACCCATAATGTCCATTCCTTTTTCTCCAGTTCTCAATATGATCACTCACTTTCATTTCCTTCACAGGTGAAGTGGTTTTATTTTATAGTAAAATAGAATAGCTTACTTTTAACTATTATTTTTTATGAAGATTGACCTTATTAAAAATACCACAGCTGAAGACCCTAAGGCTGCTGAAAAGAAAGTATTTTCTCTACAACAGCAAAATTTATGTACTAAATTTCTGACATTTCTGTTTAGAAATCAGCTTCACTAGCCTGGCAGAGATGTGGTGTTTGAGACATCAAGGGAGAGCAGGGAGAAATAAACCAAGCCTCTAAAAATAAAAAGAAAACAACACAGACTAAATTGGATAAAAAACAATAGGTAGGAAAATATAGTGTGAAGACAGGAAATGACAGACTAGGGCTAGGCCTGATTTAGCTGTGTATGCTGTGCATTATGGATACCAAGAACTCCCATTCTCCTCTGTGACTTGATACCTCCTTAGCTGTTGGCCATGAAAACTCAGTTAAGACCAAGCCGTGAGGTACTTTCTCTAGGTTTTCCAAACAGAAGCATTGTTGACTCTGCCTCTCCTCCCATTCAGAGCACCTGCATCACAAAGGGCATCCTCAGTGCACCCCAGTTCCTCAGCTCTGGAGTTGCTGAAAAAAAATGAAACTTTTTTTTCTTTTTTTTTTTTTTGCCAGGGGGTAAAAAAATACAGCAAAGCTATTGCTACAGCAAAGCAGTGTGCAGTCATCACATGTATTGTATACACTGCTGTACCTGCAAAGGTAACTCTAAGTAAAAATGGTTTGGGCTCAAGGGTAAGGAGCATTTTCTCTTGTGGCAAGTCTAAGTAAAGAACAAGAAAGCTGCAAAATGGTGTGGGGGCATACAACTAGCAGTGGATAGAAAACTCTGGCCTTAGCTGATCATCTAAACTAGCAACGATCACCCAGCAGTAAGGCCAGTGGCATGTGAATGCATGTGTGAGTTACAAAGAACTGTCTAGTACTAGGGAAAAGGTAGCAACTCTCAGGGGATTTTTTGGCTGTGTTTTTTTCTGTTTGTTTGTTGGGTTTTTTTCAAGTAGAAGTAGTAATAACCCGAAAGAAGTCTTTTTTTCTATTCAGTCATCTCTGCACAGAGTGTGCTAGCAGCAGGAGACCATGCTTTTCTTTTAGTTAAGTTCTTTTCTGGCCTTGACTATAAGAAAAGAAAACTGAAAAATCAAATTTGCAGAGAGCTGACAAAATTATTCAAAAGATGAAATATTTAACAGCCTAATATGTTCCCATCATCTATAAATTCTTACAGATAAATAATTATCCTTGTTTTATTGTTTCTCAATCATTCTAACAAGAGCATGGCTTTGCCTGGAACCTGATATGAGACCAATTCTAAGATGACTGATGTCCAGCTAAAATTGTATGTTCTTTGGCATACATTTTGCTTAATAAAAATTACAGTCCTGTGAGAAATGGAAGGGGGACACTGCGCCACCAGTATGTAGAAGATATATCGGAAGAGGGGTAAGATCTAAAAGGTCTAGATTGAGATATTAAAATTATTTAATTAGACTGGATATGTCTTCCGCATCCTATACTTTTTTCTTCTCAATTCTAATAAAACTAGTAGGAGTGTAGACAAAGAATGACAGAATAGTCCATGTTTTGTTATCATATAACATGTCTTACCTTAGCCACTGGCAAAATCACTTTATGAATTATAAGTCCTGGAACCATTATTTTTTCCTTTATAATTACTGAGGACACAGCATAGTTCTAAATGAGTGTGATCCACAGTAAACAAACACTAGAATCCTCATAGAATGTGAGCACAGTAGATTCAAACAATGATTTTCTAAGCACCTGCCATTACAAAAGGAAAGATTACCTGTGAGCATCAGGACACAATTTCTGGCCAGTGCTGTTTAGTATTTCAAATACTTTGGGGCTGACTTCACCAGATGCAGACAGAAGTACTTCTTCCTTTTAACGAGCATTCCCTGGAAGCACCTGTCAGAACAAAAAACCAAGTGGTTATTCACAAAGATTTATGGTTACTAGATATATAATACCCAATAGGAAATAATCATTTATGCAGTACAACAGCTGAGCATGGGATTTTAAGAGGGGCTGCATAACTGACCAATAGCAATATCTGAAATAGCACTGCTTAAGAAAAGATTAATTTAGTCTCATGCAACAAGGCATAATTTAGCCCTACAGGCACTAGGAAGGCATGTTATCTTACATTCAGCATTGCAGATTGGACTTAGTGGTATTATGGGATATTTCTGTTTTTCCTCTGAAGCATGTAATATTAGCCACTGCCAGAGGCAGAATATCAAACATCATCTGCACCTATTTCCCTCATCATGAAGGACTAATTCAATTTTGTAACAATAGGAGAGGAGAGTCTAGCAACTACTTGGAGATCAACTGGAGAACAGCATACTTGAGGCTTCAGTGTGTTACTGTTACAAAAGCAGACTGGCTTCTCTGGCTCCCTTAGTGGGATTAGTTTTTACACTTACTAATGCATTAGCCTTGGCAGACTTCGAATGATACCTTACATATTTATTTAAACATAAATTTCAAGTTCTGGACTCCCTTTCAAAGGGCTTAGAAGGTAGAGTTACTTAGTGACAGTGTAGGATATGCAGGTATTGTCTGCTGTTTCTATAATACCCTTACGGTTTGAAACTACATTCTGATGTGACTTCTATTTGAATCCCAACATGTGACTAGTTTAGATAAGCAAAATTTGCTCCCTTTTTGGGGTGATAACAGCGATACACAACCCTGAAATTTAAGCTACATGACACTTTGCTTCCCCTTCTAATACATGACTGCTGCAAGATTTCATTATTGGAAAATTACTAAGAGGACAAGTTTCAGCTACTGAAATAAATTAAGCTTCATCTAAGCCCTAGTGATTTAAAAAGAAAAAAAGAAAAAAAGAAAAAGCTGTACTTGACACATTTCCTACTTGAAAATGAAAATCAAGTATATAATGATTGAAAACATGAACTTTTATTAACCAAGGAAACCTTCCAACTTGTACGCTAACTCTGGGAACAAGTTCACGCCTTCCTTCATCTTCTATCACCTCAAGGCTGTGACCTGCCACTGCACTCATCAGAACCAATAAACATAAGGGACTGTACTTGCAACGAAGCTGAACGTGAAAGTGGAAGAAATTAGAATTTGCTTTAAGAACAACTTGTTAGTATTTCATAAGTTTTTAGGTAACACTGAATGATAGCAAAGTTGCAAGCTTGTATTCTTGCCTTTTAGTTTTATATCCAATAATTTAAATTTTCACTTGTAACACCTGCACTCATGAAACGCTCATGCACAGTAAAGAATGTCTCCCTTAATTCTAACCTAAATAGCGGAAGTTTAGATTGGATATAAGAAGCTCTTTACTGCAAGGGTGGTGAAGCACTGGAATGGGCTGCCCAAGCAAGTTGTGAATGTTCCATCCCTGGCGGTGTTCAAGGTCAGGTTGGACACAGCCTTGGGTGACGTGGTTTAGCGTGAGGTGTCCCTGCCCATGGCAAGGGGGTTGGAACTTGATGATCTTAAGGTCCTCTCCAACCCTAACTATTCTATGAATGTAACTAAAACTATTAATCAGTTTAGAATTTTGTCAAGCATACAACTGTGCAATTTTGTACACATTTTAACATCAGTAGTATTATTACAAACAGAAGACCTCTCAACTAATCAATCTGAACTTTTAGAAGAGCAGAAACTTAGGGACTTCTGTGCTGTGCTTCAGAATCATGTTCTCCAATAATCACACCAGTTTCTACTGTCAATTCCTCTTGAAAAACAGCGAAAACAATATGAAAAATTGTCCTTACAAGTTACTCTACTATAAAAAGGAAGAAGAATGTAGTTCTCCAACATAAACTTTACTGGATCATTTATCCATTTATCTCCATTGATATCTCCAACATCTTCAAATTTGTTATTATTCCATTTCTGCACTGTAGTGAACACTGCTATAGTGTACCTATAGTACAGCACTACACAAAGCTTCCTTGGTATCCAAATTCAAATATATGTTTCATAATATTCTACACATGATTCTCTAGTGCTCCAGTGGACAGCAGTGGGAATCTTTTTCCAAGATTTCACCAAGTAAAATTCTGCAGGCAGAGAAAAACCTTAAAAGAATCTTTAAAAAGCTTTTTTTCCTGCATAATCCTTAATATCAGCAGTATATTTCAATCCCTTCCACTTCGAAATTGCTGTTCAGAAAGAATTAGCTTGCAATAAGATTTTATTCCTCTAGTTCATAGAACACAAGTGATTACTTATGACTTTTTAAAGGCTATTTTGCATAAGGGATATAAAAATTGGCTTTCCCCACTTAAGTGAAATAGTTAATTTTGTCACCACTTTTCTTTGTTGTTCTAACCTAGTTTTCAAAATCAGTGAAAACCAAAGGAGTTGATTATAATTAACAACTGTACAATGATCACTTAGACCAAGGAGCTTACTCAACTGGCTGATGCAAGATGAATAAAACAAGGACAGAAAACAACGAATATGGACACTGGATTAGAATAACCATTGAAAGAAATCCATCAAGTCTGTTTCCTTAAAATTATTCAATAATTGCTACTAACAGAAGTTAATTCACATGTACACAATGAGTCAAAGCCTATCTTCTACCATTTTGGGTTTCTCATGACAAACATATGACAACTGAACTGCTTGGAAAAGAATACTTAGGGGGAAGTATCACCTGAAATAAATAAATACGCTAGTAGGAACTGGTCTATCCAGTGAACATGAAGTGTTAAATACTTTCCTCACCATTTTACAACTCTGTCATTCTATAAAAATAAATATAAATTAGTTGTAAAGACTGTATGAAAACTTTGCAATCATATCTAGCATGTAAAAAAGAAAGGAGCAAAACTTCTTTGGATGCACTATAAAACTGATATAGCAGTTCTAAAGCAATATAAAAATCTTATTAAATATGTAAATCTGGACGGTTCTATTGTTTCAGCACTGGAATTAGAATCTCCTATAAACAGAATACCCTAAAACACCTTTACAGAAATGAGGCTTCAGTTGAAACAGTACTGTAAATAGCTGGGGACTTTTCTAAAAGGAGGTTTTGCACTCCAGGCTTTCAGACTTTTCACATCCAGATACCTCAAATAAAGTAAGTGGACAGACATCACAGCATTCAGTTTTCAATTTTTGAAAACCTGAAGTAATCCTGATATTTACATAATATCAAACTGAAACATATATATATTTGTCCCAAAATGAATACAGAAATTCCAAACCACTACACATGAAATGAATACCTTTGTAAATTACTGTTAAAAGTACAGGGTTTATTGCATGAGCAAATACTATTAATATGTATGTAGAATATGTATCAAACATTAGTAAACGTGCATTGAGTAATATCTAATGCTTAGACAGCGAGTGAAACAACCTTTACAAACCGTCTTGCCTACTTTTCTGAACTTTCAACATTCATAATTTTGACTTGTCTATAAATCACTGCCTTGTTTTTAAAACACTGTGTGAAGTTTTTCCTTTGAGGATTTCTGGGTTTAAGCACCTGCATGCAAAGGCGTACAGGAGAAGTCTGGAGATGTTTGCATGAGAGCCTTTCAGGAGAGAACCATTCTTGTTGCTGAATATATGTTTTGTATCTTTGCACATTAATGGGTATTCTAAAAGTTATCCGGATTAAACACCATCAAAGTTAACAGCCTCTTTTTATAAGACTTTATCTTTTTCATTTTAAGATGTTATTAGAATAATAAAACTGGTGCCTGGTGGGCTGAAAGCAGACTGCCATTTAACATATTTAATGACCATCTGGAGAGGGGGTTTTATTCAAAGTTTTATTTTCTATTTACTCTTAAGCACTTTTTACTTTTTTTAGAAAATCCCCATCTTTTGTTTCCAGCTTGGGAGCAGTATGAGGTACAAACACAACGGCCTTGGCTCTACGTTTTACCTCTTTGTTCTTTGGTTATTGACAACATGCCGTACCTACTATAACCCAGAAAACCAGCTCTTGCCAGGGAAAGGCAGCAGAGATCAGACTGGATGGGTAACCTGAACAGCATTGGCACAGCAGCAACAGGCAGAAAACCTCCCCTCAGCGCTGTTTGCTTCCCCCTCAACTACCAAGTAAAAGTCCTGGGGCATTCTTATAGTCAAATATTCCGAGAAACTAGCAATACTTGGCAAATCCAAGGAAAAAGAAGACAGGACTTACTCTGCTTGCAGAGACTCCCATCACCCGGGTGGGCTGCCACTGCTGTTTCCTCCTGATGTGCAGGTACCTCAGGGACCTGGGGATGGCTTCCCCAAACCAATGTTCATGCTCCTTCATGCCCCAGGCAGCCAACAGTCTCAGGGTAGGGATGCCAAGCATCACCTACAAGTATGGAATACCGGCTGAAAGGCTTTAGCTGGGCACAGGAAGCAAACTTCTGAGGGCAGCGGCAGCCCTTGTGAGGAGAAGCCGGGTCTGCCCCGTGCCCGTCACAGCCGGCTCTAACCGGTTCCAGCCGGCCCCAGCACAAGGCGCAGCTGAGCCAGGCACGGAGCCGGCGGTGCCTCAGGGCAGCAGCTCTGAGGAAGAGAAAACGCTGCCGGAGCAAGGGAAAAGTGTGAGGAACAGCCCCGGGCACGACAAGGGCAAGGGCAGGGGCAGGGGAGGAGGAGGTGCTCCAGGCCCCTGCAGCTATGAGAGACTATGGAACAATTCCACTTTAAGTAGTAGGTAAGCTTCCTGGTGTCAATTGTATGTTTTTTCTGTGTTTCAGATTCTTTCTGGTTATGAAATATGAAGAAGTTCTTATCCATCACCTGGCTTTCATCATCTCTGTTAACAGACTGTCTGCAGTGCAAGTATTAGTTGTTAATAACATGATTATTTTCTTCTGAAAACAAACACAGAAGGGAAGACCAATTTGGTCATTAAGTTGTAGCTGTGCTGGTAACTGGCATTAACTTCAGGAAACATTGTTCTGTCCTTGTCCTTGCTGGCTCTAGTACCATATTCATTAAATAAAGAAAAAGAACTAGGTATAATCCTGCACTTTTTTTTTTTTTTTTGAAGGATAATATTTGTTAATAATTAGTGTCAGTTTATTAATATCTTTGCAAAATTTTGTGCTATGCAGTTGTGAACTGTTAACCGAATAGGCTGTTAGCATTTGAAAGTAGAAAAGACAGGAATACATGGCCATGTGTATGTGGAAAAGAGTGAACTAAGACTAGCAAGACTGTTTTCTGCCTATACACACTTATTGAAAAAACCACTTCCCAATTCACTGTGTACGACTAGGACAATATAATCTTAACAAGAACGAAGTGTGGCAAAATTTGCCTAGCTGTATCTGGTCTGTTCTTTGTATAACCAGTTGTATTTTGTGGACCCTTAGGCAATTATGATAGCAGGCGTCTATAATGACATTTATAATGTATCTCTGTGTATATTAATGGGTGGAAATTTAGCACCATTGTCATCTAGACATACTGCATTTTGGGGCTTTTAGGGAAAAAAAACCCACAAAACCAAAATTCCAACAAAAAACATAAAGGGGTAAAGTGACATGTAAAATGACAGAGGAGAATGTCCTAAAGTTTCTTAGGAAGCTGAAAGACAGCTAAGGCACGACTGACAACCAGCCACCATGTGAATAAAAGATTAAATGCATTTGTACAATTGTTTGTGCAGTGAGGAATGGTGTGTTCCTTTGGAAGTGACAAAGCATTTCCAGAGTTATTCTTGGCAGCATAATGAAGTTAGCTCAACCAGCTAAGGGTGTTCCTATAGCTTTTCTGAACTGTCATATCCTTGCATCACCTTTGCTTCTGTGAACAAATCTGTTGGATTTACCAACTAAATTATTTATAGTGTTCATTGTTGCTGTTTATTATCTATAGAGACACATTTCAAATCTGAAATGCAAGGAGAAATGAGTCAGGTTCTTAAACATGAATAAAAGAATTGTTTGGATGGTTCACAAATGGAATTTCTCTGTTTCTTCGTGCTGGAAAGGATATCAGTAACAGCTTTTTCTGAGACAATAAGATCTTACCTATTGTTGTCATGCAAACAGTTGAATAATGTCTAAAGAAACACAGTTTGCAAACTGAAAGAATCCAAATATAATTTCTTCTTATTAATACCTGTGCTTTTTATCTTTCTCCCTGAAGTAGTGCTTTCTGCACTACATCTAATGAAATTCAGAGTGGACCTCCAAATCTTCCTAGGTGTGATGGCAGCGGTTCCAGCAGCACCTGGGCACCTTTGCCTCCATAAGGTGTCCATCAGAGAGACATCTTAGCAAAATAGGTCTCTGTCTCCTGGTTTAAGTGCTCTTTCCTACAGGGACCAGCTCAAGACTTCAAGTGTCAGAAAAGAATACTGTGGAAGTGGAAAGAATGTACTAGGCAATAAAAGAACCCAAACATTCAACACCCTACCAAAAGCACTACTAGTGTATAAACCAATGCAACCTCTGTCACTGTATCAAATCACAAACACTAAGACAAAGTTCAGTAATCCAAAGTCATTGTTACATTTATAGGGAAGACATAGAAACAAAATGTAAATAAGAATATGCTTCAATGTACATATATAGTGGTGGAGAAAACAATATGGGCTAGGTAGGAAAAAAACTTCAAACAGCAAGAACTAGGCTGAAAACAAGATGTACATAGAATGATAGATCTCTTAGGTCTCCAGAAAACATGATGCTGATTAACAGAAAACTGAACTCCCCTACCAAGCTTTAAAAATAGCACATGCAAAAGTCTTGGATCATAGGAGACTAGTGGAGAAGCTTGCAATTAGGTCTAGGAAGAAAGATTCTTCATACAACAGCTCCGTTGCATGACTGACAGTTCCCTGAATCAGTTCTACCATGTCCAACCATGCAAGCATCTCATGAAAAATGGGATTCTGCATTTCCCTTATATTAACTATTTGCACAATCCTATAGTGACAATACAAAAAGTGACAGTACAAGGAAAGTACAGGTGAAGGCTTAGTACCTTGCAGTTTCAAAAGCATTTCAGAGAATATACATATTCAGGAGGGAAAATCAGAAACACTGAAAAGGCCATGAGAAAGATGTCTGGGTACACAGGATAAATGTGCAGAAGTGCTGTAATTCTTCACTATAATAAAACAGAGAACACACAGACAGTCGAACTGCAGTAGAAAGCTGAGATAACTGAACTACATTTGTCTTAATTTGCTCCACTGACCTATACATAATATTGGACACACATCTAGTCACACATTTATTCTCTGCTGTTTAACTATGACACTGCTACCCATTTCCCTTGTTCGTGTGAAAGATTGTGTTTAAAATTGTTAGAAGTATCTTTATTTCTTGATCCTCTGAATTCAAGTGGATCATAATTGAAACAAAACAAGAAACACAACATTTTTCTTCTAACAAATGACATATTTGTATATTCTCTCTACTACTGGAAAATTACCATGAAACTATATAAATGGTAGCTGGTGAATACTTAAAGCAAGTATGAAAGTTGAAAATGTAAAACAGCTATGCTAAACTAAGGCCAAATTTCAGAGTAAAAATTAAAATTTGAATATCATCACAATTTGGACACAAAGTTAAATGTAACCTGGAATCCCTGTGCACTGCAAAACACATTGATCAGCCATACCTTGTGTTGAGGCCAGTGAAATAAGTAACTGCAGTTTCAAGCACATAAAGATTTTCTCCACTGTCTGAGCTGTCTTTGAGAACTGCAAAGAAGGGGTGACTTTTCACAGCAGTTGGAAGTAATTTATATCCAGTAAGGCACTTGGATACAAGCTGATCAGAGTCGAGTGTCCTCGAAAGCAAGTCCTTGGATTCTAGAGGACCTATTTGCAGTTGGCATGTGGACTAAAGACAGGCTCTGAAAGGAAAAGTAAGACTCAATTCATGTAATTTATTTCACATTTTTGTATTTCTGAGTCTTCAGCTTTCATCTCCATAACGCTATTTAAAACAAAACAAAAATCTTGGCATCTCTAAAGATAAATGCAAGCTGTATTTCAAACAGAATCCAGTATTCAAGGACAACTGTTTTCTCTCTGCTCTTCCAAACTTTTATTCCTTGTCTGATGGATTTTTCTAAACAAAAAAAAATTCTCCATATTCCTCTAGAGTCACATGAATGTGCTTTCATGATTCAGTCTCTTTCATTTCTTTCAATTTGCCTTACTCTTCTTCAGTAATGCATTTCAGCTAAGCATGCTCTGTTACACTTCTCAGCCATGCTCCTCAAAAGTGTAATCTCCAACTGCATCCTCTCTTTCTGTTTTTCCCACCACTACCATTGACAAAATGTGATTTATCAACAAATTCAATAAATAGCCTCTGCCTTGGGCTAAAAATTATTATAACAGAAATGAAATAGCATACTAAATAGTGCCTTTCATATTCTTAAAAAAAACATGGAAATAATACTTGGGTCTAAAATTCTCCTGGAAGCCCTTCAAGCTCAGTGTACAAATTCAAACTTAAGTAAACGTTAAAAATTGTAGAGCTTGACTTAATATTAAAAATTACAGAATCTACACATAATCATTGCAGTAAGAACAAACCTAATGATGAAAAAATTGAAGAACTGCCTTTTTAGTTTAAGTTGTAAACCAGAGATAGAGAAGGTGCCTGGATAGCAAGGTGAAAGCAAAGACACAAGTGGCAAGACAATATGCAATCAAAATCCACCATTCCAGAAAACAGCCTTGTTACACTCAAAGAGATGACTGTCAGAAATTTAGCAGGGTCATAACCATTAATCATTTTATTTAGCTGATGATCAGGCAGCTTGCTGACTTAATTGTATGTAACAGCACCCTTAGAATTCCTATGCTCGCATAAATGTTGACAACACTACAGGTTTGTATTTGGGCATTCTTGCTACTCCAGTGACTTCAGAGCCTGAACATTAATTACACTTACATAATTATTGTGCTGACAATTAATCTGAAAATTCTGTGCCAAACACACAATGTTTATTTTTTCATCCGAATTGACATATTTGGTTTATTCCTTCGGTCACAAATGTACAGCCACCCCTTCATCAATCTGGACTAACTGTATTACATTAATTAGAAAGAAAGTTTAATTTCTTTTCCCTGCATACCCAAAGGAATCAAAAGGACATGGTTGCTAAGACATTCCTGTAAAAGAAAAGAATTTCTACCTATGCACATCCAGCAAGCGCCGATTATGTACTGAAAACAAACTTCTGTTAACAGCAGTCAACTAAGTTTTAATGCTTAAAGATTATTGTGTAAGACTGGAAGAAGTTTAATGTCAGGATTCAAGTTGTGATTAAAACCAGTATCCTTGGGCATTAAGCTAAGCATTGAAATGTATGCTGCAGTAAAAGAAGTTGGGGACAAACACACTCAAAACTGGTCATTATTTTCCTAATAATTTTTACCACTTCCTAATATACTTTATAAGCAACACATACTTACCACATGTACAGACCTTAATTATTCTATTCCAATGCATATAGTACATAGAAGAGACAATTTCCTTTGGTAAATATTTTCTTCTTTATAAATAAGTTAAATTTTGATGACTTACATAATTCTCTTTTGAATTTTCAGAGTAAATAAGATATAAAACTTTCTTTTAAAAATGATGGAAATTTAAAATATTTCCCATCGCATTCCTCTGTGAATTACACACAGTTACTACTTCATCAGGCTGCAGAAATGATTATTTTCTGCAAAACATTATGCAGCTGGTTATGATTTCAAAGATAGTTTTATAGTAAGTTCATGTAAGTTACTGAGGATGCAAAATGAGAGCTGTGGGTTTACATTATTTATGGAGCCCTAGATGGAAAGACCCTTGTTCCTAGAAAAGCCTTACCAAAGGTAACTAATGTTTCAATGTAGGAAATTTCTAATTTTTCTTTTTTCCCATTTGCAGTTATGCATTGGAAAAGAACTGGAACTGGTAACCTTATATTAATCTCTGTTTTGATAGCTTAAGTAGGTTGCCTAAAGCTTGCTCTAACAATAGAACAGATTTGAATGTTCTGCTCCTTTGTAGGACTGGCTGCCAAGGTGTGATCTATCACAATTCCAGGGCATCTTAAAGACAAGAAATGCTGGGTCTTTTAATTATGGAACCTCTTTTCCACTGGCAGTATTCAAGGCCAGGCTGGTTTAGAGCGAGGTGTCCCTGCCCATGGCAGGGGGGTTGGAACTTGATGATCTTAAGGTCCTTTCCAACCCTAACTATTCTATGATTCTATGTCCACAGAGCCTGGTAGGAGACGGACCTAGGGCCACACCAGGGTCTGGGTGCAACGGACTCCTGCCCTCTGTTCCTGCAGACAATATGCAAGTGCTTATCTCCATCGCCCACTGCATCTTTGCATCTTAGCAGTCTTTTTTGTGTCTGTCAATGAATTATTTTCTTTATTAGTCTTCATAACTTTATGTCCAAAAGTTGAGTTCAAATTCTTAGGACATTGACGTAAAATAATCCAGTATACTTCGTATGGGAAGAGTAGAATTAACTTCTAAAAGTTCTACATAATTCTTGCAGTTTCAATTCACAGAAGACTATATTATCCCTTCACATTATATCAATGTATATTAGTGCTATATTGGTTAAAAGGGAGGCCACTTCACAGTTTATGCCTTGTCAACTTCAAATACACCCACACTGTTTGACAAGAATAAATTGTACATTTAGTTGTCATTTCAATGCTGCTGTTGTTTGAAAATATTATGGCTCTAAGCAACAAACATAAATTACATTTCTTTTGTTATTAAGCCCTATCCATGCACCAACCTAAAGAACTTCAGAGTTCTTCCTAAAAGAAGGAGTGTAAGCAAAGACAAGACAGACATTTCCTAAGAGTAAAAATCAGAGATACAATTACCTCTTCAGTGATGCTTTTCCCTAGACCAAAACAGCATCACATCTACATTACTGAAGAACAGCCACCTCTGGGGTGAAAAACAGTAGACTTATATAGGAGTAAGCTTCATAAATGTGAAGAAAATGAATATATGGAATTATGATAGCTTAGATTAATCAGCAAATACGTAAAGAAACAAGGCAAACCCATATAAGTAAACTCAATCACAAAATCCTCCGGTTATCTCCATAGCCGTTATTGCTATACTTTCCCATTATGTACTTTGTGAAAGTAGATCCGCTAACAGAAAGAATATAGAGGAGCCAAATCTCATTAAGTTGACAAAAGTTAAGCCACAGTGATCAGTAAAGTACAGGCTTCTGACACCCAAGAAAGTCTGAATATGAGTCTACTAAGAATTCTTGAACACCGTGAATAGAACTTGTAATTACCATAATGTAAACAAGTTTAAATATAAGCAATGCTTTAAAAACCTGTAGTTTCATTGGAAGAGGCCATACCATTATTGACCTGAAATTACCATTTTAACTCTTAGCACATTTTATTCCTTTCTAACCATTGCATTAAATTTACAAAATGAGAGATCTCAATTTTTTTGTAAGATCCGTTACTATCGTTGACTCTTCTACTTTGGAACAACCTCATAACTTTGATAGCTACTATCCAACCAGGTTGCACTTTGCCAGTTTTCCACATTGTTTTAACTTGGCTGAACCACTACCAAACCCGATAACGTTGAAAATTGGTAAGTAAACACTTCATAATTGTTACAACATGTACAGATTTTTCTGTGACAAATCATTTCTAATTTTATTTTATTTTCAGTAATTCTGCTTCACTTTTCCCAACCTTGCTTTTATAAAATAAAATATTTACAACCCAGATACTGTTCCCTGAGATTAGGCTTCATAGAACAGTAGTTCTTCTAAAGGCAAGGTAACTGTGCCATATAGTGTTCCTTACCCTACTGGAGACTACCAAACTGAGGCCAAAATTTCTCTACCCAGCCTAACTCTTTTAACTGGTGTCAGAAAGGGAAAGAGACTTAAGTTAGTGACTTGACTTTGCAATTTATATTGGAGCAAGGATTCTCCAATTAAAAAGTTACATTCAAATTAAATTGTAATGTCAGATCTCCAGACTTAAACACTCTTTTCAGAAAGAAAAAACAACCAAGCAAAACATCTCTCTCGATGGTACTTAAACATTATTAATAAAGTAAAAACTCAATAGAAAACCACAAACAATACACAAAAGCAATATCAATGACAATTATGTACAAATTGGTGATCAAATAAAAGTACAAACGTCAGTTTATTATTGTCTTCTGATAACCATAACAGTTTGGTAGTGATGCATATAACTTCAGTATCCACAGTGAAAACTTAGTAAGATCAGTGTTGTCTAGGTATGATATACTTACTATTAACAAAAAATTAATACTAAGTAGTTTCTCTTCTAATGTATCTGTTCCTGGACCTTAACAAATAACCTTAGGGAAAAAAAAAAAACCCAACAAACAAAAAAAACCCCAAACCAAAAAATTCACAGAATTCCTGACTGACAGCCATTACCAGGTGGATAAAATCATTAGCACTCTCTCCTGGCAGATTTGAAGCCACCCTCAGACTGGAAAGGGCCATTGTAAACTGCTCTGTTTGGAGTTTTTTGCAATAAAATAGGTTCTGAAGAGCATCCTTTTTAACTCTTAGTAAGACTGAAGGCCACTGAGATAAACAGGCACAGCAGCAGTCCTAATGCTCTTGGCAAACCACAAGAAGTGTTGGTGGTGACACAGATGACAGTGACAGGCTGACACTGTAGATTAATTTACAGTTAAAGTGTTTCTGATATCCTGATCATCAAGTCAGACCATCTGCAATGAGCTATTAGTGCTTAAGGCACAGAAAGACAGAGACATTACCTCACTAAAGGCAGGGAATGACTCTGGTCTGGAAACATCAAAAAGCTATCAAAGAAAAACACCATCAGACCCA